TGATTTCTTTTTGTAAGGATTTTTAATTAATCGATGGACTTATATGTCTGAATAGTTCTGCATTAAATTAAAGGCTGTCGAATTCGATTGAACCCATTTAAAATGATCTAATAAGGCTTCGATTTTGGACCGTTATGCATCCAATTAAAGTATGGGTTCTATATGTGTAGAGACCGGGTCCATACTCATAATTCTATGATGGTCTGAATTATGTTAAAGGGCACTAATATATAAATACGGTTATGGTCCTCAGATCGCACGTATGTATTTGCTCATTCTATTCTGCCTTCCATCGCCTGAGAGAATTACTGGTTGTGTGTAGATTTGGAAGACAAAATCGCAGGATTCAAGTATTACATTAATCATGTGTAATTCAGGTACGCTTCCACTATAATTCATGTATTTCTTGATGATCTAATATGAAGATCCGATGATTTTAAGATAACAAATTATCCTACAAGTGGTATCATAGTCTTTTCATATTGAATCATTGATAATCGAATAATGTATTTGGTTCTTGCTAGGACTGTAAGCAAAAATCGGAAAATCGAACCGAAATCGCATTTTAGAAACCGTCGGTTTGGTACCACGTGGACCCGGTCAACGAAATGGTTTTGACCCAAACCAAATCGGTCAAAATGGTTTGGTTTAGGTTTGAAAATTTAAATTGCGGTTTAAAATCAAATCGGACCGACGAAAAAATATATAAAAATAAAAAAATGAAAAAATAAAATTTTTTGAAAATTCATTCAAATATGTAAAATTCAATAGTTTTGTCATTTGTGAGTATTTTTGTCAATTCTAATTTTCTAATACAGATATATTATTATTATTATTATTATTATTATTATTATTATTATTATTATTATCCAATAATCCTAATATATATTTAATAATTTCAAGACTAACATAATCTATCAAAAGCCTTTTTCCTTTTCAAAATTTAGATGAACTCTAGTCGACACTCAACACAGTTTTGAGCCACCGGCACCACACACTTCTTTTTCAGATTTTTCACATCTCTTCAAAGTTGAATTGAAGTTCGTTATACCAAATCAGAGACAAAGAGATCATAAACCTTCGGTGATAATATTTGTTACAAATAAAGTTTCAAATCAATAATTTTTTTGTCCCAAAAATTTGGTTCAAATAGGGGCTTAGTTTGTTTTAAATTTATTACTAGTGAAATATAAATATATATTAAATTCAATGAATTAATAATATAAAAGTAGACGGACAAAAAAATATATGGCGAAACCGAGGTTTAAAATCGGACCAAACCCTTAGGTTTAGGTTTTAGTTTTTCTCAAACCGTTCAAAATGGTTTGGTTTTGGTTTGGATTTTTCTCAAACCGTTTTAAACGGTTTGGTTTGAAAATTTGTCAAAAATCAATAAAACCGAACCGCTTACACCCCTAGTTCTTGCAATATATTTTATGAAGTTTTCAGATTCAACAATTTTGAATCTATTTTTGTTGAATTTGAAAACATTGCGGCATGTTATTCTTGGTTATTTTTCATAATTTGAATTAAAAAGTTGAGGAATTTTAAGATTATGAATTTTTGAGGAATTACAGTTTTTGGATTTAAAATTACAAATTCTTGGGTTAAAAAAATATTCAGGAGGTTCACCCCCACAAGGCAGCAGCGCCTCTCGACTCTGCTGCTAACGGTCGGCGCCACTACACTAGGCGACGCACACCAAGAGGAGGAAGAAAAAGAAAATTTTTCTAGGGTTTTCAGTTTTTTATTTTTTTTTATTTTTTAGATTTGGGGACGGGGGCTTGATATGTAAATTAGATTCCTTAAGGCCCCTACCTGCAATTAGGGTTAGGGTTACAAATTTAAGATTCGAGTCCCTAATATTTAAAGTATATTCATATTGGACCTTTAAGTTTTAGATTTAATAATTCAGTCCCTAAAGTTTAAAAATTAATTAATTTGGAACATTAAAGTTCTGAATTTTATAATTAAGGCCCTCAAACTTTAATAATCAATTCAAATTGGCTCCTAAAGTTTTGAATTGATTAATTTTGGCTCCTACAATTTTAATTTTATTAATTTTGGTCCCTAAAGTTTTAAATTAATTAATTTTGCACCCCTTAAGTCTTGAATTATTAACCCTAAAGTTTAAAACTAAATCAAATATACAAAATTGGTAATTCTCTCTCTCAAATTTTGGTACTAAGGACTCTTTTAAGAGATATAATGTTTGAAAGTTAGTTAATTGAAACAATATGCTGTCAAAACAATCTCTCTTGTGAAAATTGATTAGCTTAGAATATTAAAAGGTGTTTGTGCATGTGTTATTCATGAAAATATTGATCAGTCCAAACGAAAGTCAATATTTAACCGAATACACGTGCACCTATGGTGATAAACACGTGACGGTTATTTCCTTTTCCTATATGAAAATACATTAACTAGGTTTCAGATCATAAAATCTGGTGACCTGTAAAAACTCACTTGAAGTTCCATGCTGATAAGGAGTTAAAAAGACCAACTTTGAAAGCAATTTGATAGAATGATAATTCTTCAGTACATATTTCCATCTGCACCAGTCATTTCACTACCATACATGATAAGATGGCCATATCTATTTACAAGAAGATCAAGAAGAGCTAATTACAGATTACGGTACCAGCGAAAATGGAACTCGTCTACCTCACAATTACTTCCCATCTTGTATGCAGCAGTAGAGAAATAAGAACCTCTCAAATTACACGTCGTCATTGAATTTGGCCAAATCATAGCGTAGATTTAATGGACAATTCTTCTGCAGCATATTAGGCATGTTGAGCAATTTCGAAATTTCACTGCACATGGTTGAGCTGCAGAATAGGATCAAGATTCTATTGCACGTTTGGGACTTCTATAGAATGGTTCTCGTGGGCGATCTAACAGGCATTTGGGATTTAAATTGAGGTATTTCAAGCCAGGGATCAAGTGTATTCCTTGTGATTGGCCTTACTGGAAATACCAAGTGGTCACCAAAATTACTACTAGTTTGCCCCACACAAGGATACGAAGGGCTTGGAGGAGATATGAAACAACTCTTATGTGCTGGTCCATAATGTCTTAGTGGGCTTGAGGAGGGAGATACGGGCAGCGAAGTTATTGTTCTTGCACTTTCCCTGTATACCATGAAGCAAGAAAGCAACAGTTACTTTACGGTACTTAGTTTAGGAAGATGAATAAGAGAGAGAAATTTATCAGACAGACGTCTCCAGGTATTGTGTCAGTACCTTGGGCTTACTAATGTCCTTGGCACCGGTGATCTTGATCCATCATCTCTATCGAAGGAAAAGTAATTCAGTCTGCTGGACTGCATCTCCAGAGCCGTCTGCCATGATATACAAAATGAGTAACTTATGCAAAAAGGCAAGACAGATTATTAGCTATGACTACAAGTATAGCAGCATTCAAGTTGTCTTTAGCACAATGGAAATTGTTGACAAAGACATTCATTGCAAACCTCGATCTGAACCACATAACTGTTATAAATGCTTCTCAATTCATTTCAGCAGCCAGTATCTTCAAAATAATGTACGCAGGTATGCCCGGTGTACTTGTAAATGATTTTGATCAATAGAATTTTACATTTACCAATAAAAAAAATAAAAAATCTATAGACGAAATATGCAAACGTTCCCAAATCAAAACTAAATTATCATGAAACAGCAGAAGTCTATGCCATAAAACTTAAAAGCCAATATTGTTTGCTACCTATTCTGATTGATCTTGCATGTTAAATCTAATACGAAGACAGAATGACCTTGAAAAAGTTGAAAAGAAAAGGGTAAAATTGATTAAACTGATAAACAAGATAAACTATACCAGAAGAATCCAATCTGACTCTAATCAATTTCTCTTGGAATACAACAACTGGCCTGGGGGCATGCAATCTGATTATAAATATAACTAGATGTGGCAAAGGCCTAATTTACAAGGCTAGAATATAAATATCGTTAGTCAGCATCTTAACATTTCCTGGCTACAGCCAAGTCAAAAAATAATAATAAAATAAAATATCTTCTCGCATTCATCTAATAGTTTCTCTTAAATGTAGAACAGAAGTCTAATAAAATATCCTCTAGCAGAATTTGAACTAAGAGTTCATCCAAAATGTAACTTCTTCTCTGAACTGATAAGATGAATGCAAAGGATAGAAGAAAATTACTGGAGTGCGGCTCCCATCAAAAGCACGAGGAAAGGCTTCTCTTGTTATATTGGCATTGGCAGCTCTCATTGTAGTTTGATTTCCAACAAAAGGATGACCCAGTAGTTGAGAAGCTGTGGGCCTTGCAGCTGGTTCCCTCTGCAAACATAACCTTATGAAACTTTTTGCATCATTAGATAGGTGATCTGGAATCTCTGGCATATCCTTGCTGTTTCCAATTTTAAATATCGCAGCAACCTAATAATTAAGAAGGGAAAAAAATCAATATCTGAGCTGCTAAATGCTAGCATCCACAGAGTATATAGTATAAATTTAAATGCCAACCCCTTCATATTGGCTCCATGGCGGTTTTGACGTAGCCATTTCGAGAATTGTGCATCCTAAGCTCCAGATATCCACTGCGAGGCTGTAACCATTTGTATTCATCACAACCTGAGATAGAAGCAACCATGTAACTATAAATTATTTCGAAGCTCCACCCACAATATTTTAAGAGTGTGTTTTATGTGCGCACACGTGCATGTGCTGTTTGAACTTTTATTGGTGGGGGAGGGGATGTTTAAGGAACATAATATCATCATATACACAGTGTATGTCATTGTGTGCCCTAGATGTGTCTGTTCAAACACGCGAGAGAGAGAGAGAGAGAGAGAGACCTCCGGTGCCATCCAATAAGGACTTCCTTTGAAAGATAGCATCGAAGAACAGGACTTTATCTGGAAAATGGAAGTTTACAAATTATGGAGTCAGTATAATGGTTGCCAAAAAAGGGGAACTTAATTCTTCAGAAGGTACATCCATAATATAATTGCTAAGATTCTTAATTTTATCCTTGCAGGCCTTTCAGTTGGTATATAGCATCAATAGCAGAGTCTTCAAATGAATTCTGTACAATATATTTCTACTGATAATCAAGGAAAATAGTTTCCGTCCAAACATCAAGGGACATTTCCAGGCAATTTCAAAGATTTTCACTAAATCTCGACTTTCTTAATGATGCCAGAGATATATTTTTGAAGTCAGTAAAACCAAATATCCATTTGCCATTACCAAAAGATTATACATACATGTTTTGCCATGCCAAAATCAGCAAGTTTAATTTCACCATTAGGATCTACCAATATATTTGCTCCTTTGATATCTCTGCAAAAAGTGAGTGAATTTCAAGAGTGGAGGAATTATACATGAAGAAATAAGTGGCCACTACAGAAGCAGCAAAATCTTACCTGTGCACTGTTTTTCTTCCATGCAAGTAAGCGAGTCCTGAGAGAATCTGTCTAGTGTAATTTTGTATTACGGGCTCCTCAAAGGCCCCATATTCTTGCAGTAATTTGTGGATGGAACCTCCAGAAACGTACTCCAAATAAACTGACAATGTTTCTTCGCTCTGGCAAACAAGTAAACCAGAGTTAATAAAAGGATGGAGTTTTACAGCCCTAGATTCAATAGTACATCAGTTAAACTTGGATCACAACAGAAAAATATGCACGTGACATTGTCCATACAATCCTAAATTCAAAATAACGTGAAATTAACCCATACCAAGTCACTTCCATAATATTGAACAATGTTCACATGTGAAAGCTGACTGAGCAAGGTAATCTCCTGTTCAAATAGCCAAATGTGTCAAAGATTCAAGATAAGGTATTAAAACCTAAATGTGTGAAACCGGAGGACAAATGCAGTATAGAGAAAGAATTCTGGACCTGATTCAACTGCTTCAGACATTCTTTTGATGACTGATCATCCGAAACAACCCTGACTTCTTTTATTGCACACATTTGTCCATTTTCACTGTCAATTTAGACAAACAATTAATTTATCTCAATATAACTAACAGAAAAGGATCATAAGATTGATCAAAAACTAAATTTTTTGTAAGCATTACAGCCAAACAGGACGCAATTTCTTTTAACGCCAGAACAACAATCATTTATCCAAATTCACAAAATTTCCATGCTAGCACAATTTTTAACATGATATAACAGATAGCAGAAACCTCATTACCAGTTAAATCCAAGGTAAACATGACCAAAGGTGCCTCTTCCTAGAAGCCTCCCTTTCCTCCATTTCGATGAAATAATACTTGAGTTCTCAGCTCTCCCAGGACTTCTTGGGGTTGGCAAGGCAGAAGGACTGGGGGGAGAACCAGGTGGAAGGGGCAGCCTATGACATTCACTCTTTCCATCTTCCAATTTCCCAGTGGGGGAATCCAAATTAATACCACCAAATCGTGGGTGGAGAGGCGAGGTGGTAGTGGTAATCCCCCTAGATACTCGACCAGGACTTCGCATCACTGGACTCGATTTGTTATCTCCATTTCTTCTGCAGCAGAATATGAATTTTACATCCATAAGACTGATCAAAGTCGTGGCACAGAAGTACAATTGAAACAACTACTAATCAGTGCCTCTTATGTATTTGATGACCCTGAAAAGACTACGAGCATGTTTGGCTTTTTAACTAAGCTAAAAATTTTACTTATCTAAAATAGATGGGTTCTAAAACAAAACTTTTTTCCATTAGCCAAAGTTGGGAAATAGGAACTCTTAGTTTACTTATCTAAAATAGATGGGTTTTAAAAAAAAAATTCTTTTTTCCATTATTCAAAGATGGGAAATAGTAACTCTTAAATAAGAGCTGGTATGTGTCACCAGCATACCATTCATTTAACATTGTATTCATGCTGTAAAGATATAACCTTCAATCACAATTTTAATTTCACATCCAACAGTTCAACAATTGAATTTGAGAATGTAAGACATACGATTCGATAAAGGGAAACTAAAAATGAATCTATATATATCACCAAGACAAAAACCTAAAGAAAAACTACTTTGTAGCAACCAAGGAGAAGAAACACAAAAAATACAGAATGAAAAAAGAAATATATTATTCCTTCGTAAGCATTACTTTTTTTCTTAAGGCATTACACTTGTAGACTCTTCTATATGTAAGTACTAGATGCATATAAACTCCTTAATTATAGAATCCCTATAACCGAGCTATTTTGAATTCCTAATAATTGCTAATTTGAATATAATAAAAAAAATAAAAGCTTCCACAATATTTGCCACCTAACCATACCTACCATAAAGATTTGCTAAACCTGATTTACCTATTAGTATAATTTTTATAATAATATAGTGGGTATATACTCTAATTCTCATTAAAAGTACAATCCAATTCCGGTTGAAATGTAATGGAAAGTGAAAGGATCAATTGCTTGTTGGTCAAACTAGATTTCAATTTTTCTTAAAACAAAGTAAATTACAAGAAAGAACAAAACAAAACATTCATTCCATAGCAATTGTCTAAATAATCAAACTAAATTTCAATTTTACTTAAAACAAGGTCAATTTCAAGAAAGAACAAAGCAAAACATTCATTCCAGAGCAAAGCCCTCTTTTATGGGCTAAATGAGTCATCAAATTTTCAATTCAGGTTTTTAATAAGCCAAAATATAACACAAACAACTGATAAATCAATTAATGTTCAAAAACAGCCATAAGAGATAAAATGGACCAAAAAAGTAACCAAAAATCTCAAAAATTACAGCAAAAGAAACCCAAAAAGCCCATCTTTATTAACACAGAAAATAAGCCGTAAACATAAAGTCCCATGAAAATCAAACCAACCTGAAAGCAATTTGATCAAAAACAACATGGGTTTGATCATCAGTTGACCCGGATGAACCGATGCTGGAAAACCCCGACCCAGATCCTGACCCAACTCCGTGAATCTGAACGTGGTCAGTTGATGACTCAACAGGCATCGGTAAGGGGTGCCCTATATCCCCATACGAAGCAGAGTCAAATCCCGAAAACCCCGAAGACCCTATTTCTTCTCTTCCTATAGCAGCATAATCTCTGCTATTTCTTGGTGAGTTTTTCGATTGTTTCTGTAGCAAAACAATTCCAGAAACCTCGTCAAAGCTCTTGGCTTTATTATCTTTATTTTCTTTCCCCGTCTTCTTACCATTCTCAATTGACGAAGCTCTCGCAGAATTGTCTTTCTCCCTTTCCGAATCTTTACTTCTGCTAGATCTTTTCTTCCACCAAGCTGGCATCTTTTCCAAAGTATCTGTATATTAAATTTTTTTGAATATATGAAAGAGAGGGGCAAGACTGGAATTGGGAATTGTGGATTGAATTTATACGGGGTGAGTATAGCTGAAGAAGACAAGTTGAAGAAGAAAAGACCCAATATTTTGAAGGTCTTGATGAGCATAAAGTTCATTTATATTTTCATTTTCAGCAGAGAGAGTGGGGTCAATGAGGGGTAAGGAACAGTGAGGACAGCTCATGTGATCGGGGGAAGCGGTGAGCAAAATGACGTGTTCTTTCTTTCCCAGCATTAGATATACCCAAGCGTGCGTGGGTGTCAGTATCAGTTGTGAAGTGTGTGTGATTAGTGTAAATGCATGAATCTTGACATTGATAAATTAGAAGATGTCAAAACGTGTTGAATGACTCCATATATCAAAAAGCCAATTTTAAGGATTTGTTTGATTTTGAGAAATCAAAAATTATATTTGAAATTAGAATATTAGGGCCCGTTTGATTTGCCTTTCACTTTTTAATTTTAAAATTTGAGTTAATTTTCAATTTTTCTATTTTGATGATCTGTTATAGAATTATTTAAAATGCATTTGATTTATCATTTTGAAAATTTGTTTCTCGAAATAGAAAATAAGAAAATATATTTGGTTTAAATTTTTGAAAAATTATTTTATTTCTTAAAAATCAATTATTCAGTAAAATAGAACAATTTTATGTTAATCAACTAATATACAAATTTTAAAGTTGGTATATCTTGCAATATTCTTTTTCATTACAAATAGTAAAACTTTTTTTGACAAAATTTAGGAAATAATAATAATAATAATAATAATAATAATAATAATAATAATAATAATGATCTGGACTTAGAATTTTTATTTGTGTTCTTCTAAAGAATCATTAAAAGTTTGAACTCTTTTTAAAGTTTGAACTCTTTTTACTTTTTACGATTTTTATTTTTCTATAATTTTTTAGAATTTTACCTTTAAATTTAGAATTAAGTTTTTTAGAGTTTTAAATTTTAAATATTTATTTTTTAGAATTTATGAGTTTTTAATTTTTTTTAAAGATTTTTTTCTTCGGAAAACTTTATATAAATGAGTATTTTTGGAGTTTTCACTAAAAAATTCAAAAATCATATATACTTTTTGAGTTTTATGTTATAAATTTAACGTTATTGTTCAAAAATGATCAAACAAATAAATTGAAAACAACAAATCAAACGTGCCATACTTTCTGTAAGTGTCTATTTTGTAGAGTTTTTGCTTCTCATAGAAAAAGTATTACATGGAAAAGTTGTGTTAAAGATAAGTAATTTTAGGAGACCAAATTCTTGAAGTAGGGGAGAGAGAGGCCTTT